GAATTACTGGATAATTCAATAGGGCCGAAAATGATGTATCCGAGCATCCAACTGCTCTCTAAATCTTACGAACACTGCTCCAATCAATCATTTGGATCACTTTCACATCGCAACGCGTAATACGTTACCTAGGCAATTTCGACGCTGTTGTGAGATACTGTATTTGATGTGCATCCACATTATTTACGGTTTCTTTGGGGGTACGGTGTCTCGTTGTTCGCCTACTGAAGTTACCGTACTGTGTGCAAGTGCACGGAAGAAGGCTGTCCTAACATCGTTGTCGCCTCTCCACGGAACGCATTAGCGCCACATCTTTTGAAGGGCTTTAGAGCTGGAGGAACTGGGAAGGTAGAGGTACTAGAATACAATTTTGTAAGTTTCACAGTTAGAACCGGTGTCTGCATCAGTTTTGCCCTCAGTAGCAACGCGAGCACTGCGTAATGGAAGGAGAAGTGCATGGAAAGTTTCGTAAACTATTTTTTATTCTATTATTTTTGATTTTTAATTATTTTATTATATTTTCTATGGTAAATCATCCTGGAAAGTAACAATTTCAACAATGGGAAACAATAAATAGATTATTTACATGAGGTACACCTAAAATCTCTGAAATCTATTTGAAGGCACTCTGAACAATCACATTCATCTTCCAGCAATAATATAACAGTGATTTCATGTTGAGCACTCTTTTTCAAAATGCTTAAAATCATCAGCGAAATTACGGAATGTTTCCATTAGTCTCTGAGATCTACGGCTTGTAGTGGAGATTTGCTTGAACAGTCCGTTTTTGAGCATCTCCTTAAAGGTACCAAATCTATTTACCTGTAATTAGTGGAAGTACGTGAAGGGATCAACTACCTTATAGTTGACCGTCTCTTCTGTATTCGATGGAGGAATGTAGTAAAAATACAACCATGACGTCATCTGCACCAGCGCGGAGAGATTCTTTTCACTTCGATCTTTGCAAAAGCTGAAAGACGTAACTCCTAATCGAAACGATTTCATTTTCCACCTGAACTCTTCAGAGTTGGGCCCAGTTATAGCTCCTCTCCGTGGTTGCTCCAGTTTCCTCAACACTGAAGGAGGAGGTGCGGACACTTTGAGAGCGCAGAAAAGAGACCAGCGACAAGGGATAAAAATCCGAAAGAGTCTACGGACTGATAGGACACTCTCAAGCCGGGCATCCCCAGCAAGGGAGTCGCACACGACTATGAAAAAAGCGTTTCCGATTGTTCAGACCTTTCCGGTTTCAGGCACACTATAACCACCTCCCTTTTTCACCGACATTTTTTTCTGGGAAATGAGTGGAGCTGGCAATAAGTGGGCGGTAGGAACATGGTGGTATGTGGTATGGTGGGAGTGACACAGAATAAAGTCGGGGAGGGGGGCCATATTTCCCAAAACTTTTACTAACGGCAGGCGCACCCTGATCGTCGCTTTCTCCATAGATATAATAGCAATCCCACACAGATAGTAGAAGCACGCCATTCATCTACTGGAAATAAGAGTACGGGCAGCTGCCAATCAATGGGTGAAATCACTACTGGTATTCGAACCACGAAAGTGGTGCAGCCTCTGCGACTGCACACCGAACTAGCCAATACAAGGATGGAATTCCGTCTACAGGGAAGTCTAAAAAAATCTGTGCTCAAACTACTGGTCGCAAATTTGGCGGCATCACAGCTAAAGCTACCACGTGCAAGACCTGTCATAATATGTGACGTGCAGCCTTGTTCGCTGTGTATGCTGGGGCCTAACAGGGGGAGGGCTGAGTTCAACATAGCGCCATCCATCACTTGTTGTCGCTTGCCCTCTCCAACAACTGGTGGAGAATGGCTGGCGCCGCGCCAAACTCTGCCCCTCCCCTGACACGCCCCAGCTTCCGCATCATTTCAGAGTGTACCCTATGCAGAACAACTACCCAGAAATAGTACCGATAAAGCCACAAGTGAACACCTCCACAAGCAAGGCCTACTTTATGCAGCTGAACTCGACGATAAACTCACCAACATACAGCTTCTCTCAATCGTAGAATATCTTTCTTCTCCTTTGTAGAACATTTCTTGAGCCTGAATAAAGCTACATGTACAACCATAGAGGGAACCCACTTCAACTTCAAGCTACCTCTTTCCCAGCATAGAAACAAGACCATTCCACATTTTCGAGAACTCCTTCAGCGAGTTCATTTCGGCTAAGTCTGTCGTCTTGTTGGCAGTATCGTTGCTATGCTTCAATTTCTTTTTGGTTATAGTCGGAACTGGTTTTTCTAGAGCAATGAGTACCGACTCCTTCTTTTTTGGCCGCGTCAAACCACGAACTGATGGCGAAACTCTAAATTTTCAAGCAAAATGTTATTCAAGACACATGAACTGGGGTTGGACCTCAGCAGCTCTTCCCACTGCTGGTAAGAGCAGCGCTGAGGCTTGGGGCCAAATTTGACAAATTATCTCAGAATCCTATAAGAAACATGAATGGTAGCCCCATTTGATCACTACTGTAGATCCTAGGTTATAAGTATTTGAAGAAAAAATGCGTTGTAAACTCACTTCTTTTCATCAGTAGACCTGACTTTTTCGGACGACCTGTTGTCGCTCACGAGAAGTACCCCTAGGCGTTTCACTGACCACGGGAGCAACATGTCCTTTCAGGATTTTCTTAGCCTCCTAGAAATTCAAAATTGTTCGAAAAGCTGATGCCATCTCTAAAGTACATGAACTCGACCAACTGCAAGCAGGTTGATGTGTGATACCTCCGAAACCACATTCATAGTTCATCAAAGGGTGTTTTACGGCGCTGTTTATCAACGGGGGGGGGGGCATTTTGTATTATAATTGCTTCCCTGGTTCCGGTTTACAAATCTCACTCTGGTAAAACTTGTGAACGCTTGTGAAGCTGGAGCAAGATCGTCTAGCCACCATCCTAAAACGTGTCAACTCGAAAAAAGGGTACCTAGATGGGTTGGCAAATCTATGAAAAGCAGAATGCCCCCTCCCCCCGTCGATAAACAGCACCGTGTTTTACCTCAACTGAAGGCTAGACACCGTCACTGGGCTGACATTTTGTGGCGCAGCTTTCGCGCAACGTCGAAATCATGACTGTGTTATCCAAACAGCGAGGATCCTGTCGGCTTGCCTAAGTGGGGATCACAAGCTGGCGGCGCCGCAACACTACTATTTCCAGTATGTACGTCTTGCCGTTCTGGAAAGTTTTTGCTAACACCTTGGGATGTCCATTTCTCTGATACAACCTCCCCCTCCCCCTCCCCCCCCACATCTTCGACCAACCTGCCATCTTACCGAATTATCCAACTTCCTACTTGTTTCAGCTGTTTTTTTTTTTCAGGAATGTCTCTACCGTTCGAAGATGGAAAACCAAGCGAAGTCAATAGCCAAAAAGATTTTTGTTAAAAGCAACGCGATCCCCTTGCTGGGATCCCAACGTACGAAGTGCACACCAGGCGACAGCCGTGTAGCCTCGCGCGGCCTTTCCTTTCTTATACGTTTCCTGAAACTACACCAGCTCGCAACCATGTACTTGGTGACTCCCCTTCTTGCCTTTAGGTATGGACTGTAATCGGATGTTTGCTTACAACCTCTCAACGAAGGTTGGAGGGTATGTCGAGGAAGAAGAAAGGGAGCGACTACAAACAAGGCACAAATAGCCTTAAAAGAGCTCACCTTTCCACTGTAACAAGCTATCTTATTTGCATGTGCTTTTAGTGACAACACGTTGTCATTCGTCAGGAACACCGTTTCCCAACCTTCTCCTCGTGCTTCCACTTGAAACGGAACAATTACTTTTTGAATCCAGGTTCAGAATACAAGCTACTCACACAAAATCTTCATTTGATACGCGCATTTCAAAATGAAATCGTCGTTGTCGTCGGTAGAGCTGGTCACGAATCCGTCCACTCGAGCAAAAGACTGAAATGTGGGGAAACTGTAAAATGCAATGAAATGTTACAGTTCATCCACGTCATCCTGGGAGAATACCCCGTCTCACTTTTCGGGGCAAGGCCGCTACGGAGAATCAGAGACTTCCGTCACTACCGCAAACCGTTCTGGAGGTAGCCTGCACAGCGCAATCAAATATGCGCGACGACTAATTGTAAACCCCCTCCACTGCGCCCTCTCACAGTGACAGTGAGAGAGAGACTAGGCCACGCAAACTCTGGCATTATCCTAGACGCCTCAGTAGCGGGTGCGTGGCCTAGTCTCTCCGCTTGCCCTCCTTGCGCGTAAAATGAAACCTTGTGCATGTATACGATGCAGTCCCTGAAATAGGACACAAAAACGTCTGCCAATAAACAACAACTCCTCACCTCTGCTGAACTCTCCCAGTAAACTAAGGGTGAAGATCGTAGCTCTCGCAGCTTGTGTACAATTCGGGTTGCTCTCTGGAAAAACAAGCGAGAAATCGAAGGGCAAAGGTAGCTTGGGAGGGAGGAGGGGAGGGACTAGATCGCACCCTCTCCTCGTGTGTAT